TTGCATAAAACTTTGTTCACTCGTGCTCGACACGCACACATTTTTTAATGGACTTTTTCCAGGAAGGTGTGATACTGATTTGAAATTAAAATTATTCTTCTTTTTTAAATATAAAGTACGATTGTGACATACGATACTGGCTGTAGTGCCCTCGCCGAAGTGACGCACACTCCATCGGCATTAAGTGAATAGAAAAATAATAAATTCAAAAAAAAATAAAAATTATATGTATACATATATATTTATATATATTATACAAGAATAACGATTTACGCATAATACTTTATATCGATTTCAAAAATGTATTGTATTTGAAACTAATTTTGAAATATTGACTTCTATCGTTATCTATATATATTATATACATATACCTATTTTTTATTACATTACAATATTATACGTGCAACGTGCATATTTTTATAATTATTAATTTCTATAGTTCAATAGCTGGGCCGACCGTCGTACGTGCACGGCAATCGAAGATGGTTACACCGGCCTTATATGGGAACCAAAAATAAAAAACAATACCACCGCACTTTTTCGATTACATTTCACCGCCTCCTACGAGGTGTACAACAAGTCATGACACGGTAAAAAAATGTGCTTTTATTTTATAATAATTAGACCATCCGACTTCGTGTCCGTCCAGAACAACGTGATCTATAATATGTTGACCGCGAGTGTGATATTATAATAATGTAAAAATCGTGTGAAAAATCATTTTCACGATTTTCACCACTCAGTCCGCTGATCCGTGAACCACATCGCATAGATATAGCCCACATTGGTACCTATATTATCTGCTATAACTAATTGAGAGACTTAAACTCAACACTTCCACACAATATTTATTATTGTCGTGATAATTTTTATAATATTGTACATAAAAAATCTCTTTGGAACTGATATATAAATACATATTATATTATACTTAGGTACGTAATTTTAGAAGCTAATATTTGAAGCCGAGTAACTGTTAATAACTGCAGGTTACCCATAGTCTCGAATTGTCAAAATATTTAAGCCACCAAAATAGGGTCAGACTTTGTCTGACTTTGGTTTTTGATACTCATCACACACACTCGAACTATTAAATTCACTTTATGAATTACAGATCTCAATTTCAATACTGTTAATTAAATTGGTAGGTAGGTAATTCACCTATACTTTTGCCAGTGAATGCAAACATATTTGAAATTATAAAGTATAATGGACGATCTTCAGCATATTTTCTGGCTCGAGTTTTTACAGTTACTCAGACATTGCTTTAGTTATGAATTTATTACCCATGCAATTCTGATCCAAACATGTATTATATATGGGTAAGCCAACTGAAATGATATTATTATATTTAAAGGGGGGGGGGGAAGTATATAACCTCTCTGCTGTTACAGTAGATGTCGAGTCTACTTCGTCATTGAGTAAGTTACTGTAATATGACTATTGGGTTGAAATAGAATTTTAATTATAAATCATGTCATACGGAAAAAGGATTCTGAGCAAAGACAATCTATATATTACTAAGTATGTATTATGATATATATATTTATACTGCTGTATCAGAGTATTTTGCTTTACTATTATAAATACGGTTAGTTGAATGAATTTTTGCCGAAACAATTTTAGTTATAATTTATTTATGTAATATATTTTATGATAAGAACCAGGTGAAAATATTCGTGTATCGTGTTAAAAAATGGGTAGGAAACCCCATAAAATTTAATTTGAATGTTTTGAAAATATCGTTATCACATTTTTTGTGTAAAATATAATTATATTATATTATATAAGGTTCCAAATACCCACGAAAAATGTTTGTGAAACTTTTAAGTATCTACGATTATTCTGTTATTCGCGTTTGAATTTAATAAGAAATGCGCAAAAGAAAAAAATCGTTTGATAAATTTTACACGTGCATTGGTGAAATTCATATTCATGATGAATATCCAATCTCTTCAAAATTATAAAAAAATTCATCAAAAATATTTGTAGAATTATATGCTACTTTACAACTTTTTGAAAATTATTCACCATGTATAGACAATTTTTATAGGTATGACTATTTGGTGAACAATTCAAGTACCTATCCATAGTTAATTGTTTTTGAATAACAACAAAATAAGAAAATTAATTTTGTTGAGTACTTGTTTTGCTTAAAAATTCAAGTTTTTCCATCATTTGTTTTATTGTTGTATCTCCTAAAAATACTAATTGCGTACAATTTTCTATATAAAAACCTTACCCATAGTTGAATATTAAAACATTTTTTTTACTATTAATTGTGTTTTCATATACACAAAAATACTTTTTTAAATCAATCGGTACGTTTATCGGCTCTGATCAGAATCTAAAATATATTAATATATTATGTATTAGTATATAATGTTATAATGTATCGTTGTTTTAAATAAATATTAGAATTAAAATGTTCATATCATTAATTATATTTTTATGGTGTATATTATTATCAATAATATATTATAATTAATGATAATAATAATTATTATATAATGAAGTGTATGATTATTTTTGCATTAATTATACATGCACGTTTTATCTTAGTTTTGACGTATTATCTTCATACTAAGTAATAAAATAATAATTTTAACAGTGATTTGATTTTACATCAGCTAAATAAACTAAATCTAATTTTAAATCAACATTCTAATTAAAATCGACAGAAGTAAATGTTAGTTATAAATGTGAACATGGCGAATAAATTAAATGTGTATTATTTTTGCTAATTAGTCGGAAATTAATTACTAATTATTATGTATTATTTAAATACAAACGATGATGAAATAGTATTAATTTGAGCAAGAAGTTAGATGCTGCAAATAAATGATGAGAGTATTATCTTAATCCTTAATGTCCTAATAAACTATATGATATGTTCATACAATATGATTATTTTTATATTTTATTGAAACATTAGTATTTAGGTATATTTGGCAAACAAATTATGAGTACGACAAAAATTAAAATAAAAAAATAGACCGATTAGCCGTTATAGACCTTGAGGAGGGACTCATTTCGATTCTCTCGCTTTGATATAGGATAGTGGTCTGCTATACGATGTTCATAAATTTGACATTAAACCATCTCATACAAAAAACAATTCCACACAGTTACCAAAATAAATTGTAAAATCGACAAAGAAAAAACAAAATGTTATGGTTCTTTTTTTCTGACAATAAAACAAGGTTTAATATCTAAAATTGTTCTATGAGGAGTAACGATTAATTCTATTGAATTAATGCAATTGCACAATTTTTTTTTTTTTGTGACAAATGTTGTTATTTCCATTAAATATTCATGGTTATCTATTGTATACTACTTGAAAATTTTATGAAAAAAACCTGTTGAGTACACTGAAACATATTTTAATTCTAGAATTTTGATTTTGCATATATTATTAATTTGTCGAAAATTGCCTGTTACCGAGAAGTTAATTTGTTCTATGTACACGCATGATATTTGTTTATTTTTATTAAAACAAAAACCATATTTCTTTAAGATTTATATTTAATGTTCTTTATTGTATCCTAGAAAAAAAATAACTAAAATAAAATACTTTTTATGAAATTATATTCATATATTTAAGATTAACAACAGCTAGATTATCTGCTAGTATGAAACAATTTTAAAAATGTACTTGAACTAGAAACATACATTTTTACTGACAAATATTATATAACATAATTTAAAAATATTTTAAAAATAAATACTTAACTATAACATCCATCATAAAAAAAATACTCAAGTCGCTCTTGTGTTTACCAAGTTTTGAGTGCACCTCGTCATTGAATAGGTTTTTTTAATACATGTGTTAAATTTTAAATGTAATGCGTAAAATAATTTAAATCTAAAGTTAATAATATAAAAATCATCACCTTTTCTACCGAGTAACCATACGTTGTACTGGAATATTTTTATTTTTTAATACACCGTTCGAACATTTGTAATTAAATTATATTATACATAAATTAATAGCAGCATTGGTAATTATTAATATTGTACAATTAAATATAAATAAAATTAAGATAATTTCCTAAAGATCCTCAAATCTCACACATTTTATTTGTGATACCGATAAGTGTTAGCTATACAAATTGAAATCCTGTATTCAATTTTGTAGGAAATAATCTTATAGCACCTAACTAGTAAGATATGATATCATACACATAAAAAACACGATCTCACTTATCACAGACATTAGAGAAGGATAGATTTTTCTTCGACATTAAACAGTTATCTGCGGTGCATTATTTATTTTAAAGTTATAACTAGTGTTATTGCACAAATGCACAATTCAGACAAACATCAAAATAATTAAACTGTTTGTCTTATAATTACTATGAATACTTACATGTATTTATAATATATCTAATCAAGTAAGTAACTATTAGGTCTACAAATGAGAATATAATATTAATATATTGTAGTTATAAGTGTTATATTGTAAATCTTAACATTAACATTTAAATATCATTAAACGGCTATTTAGCAACTATAATTTCATTTAATGAATCATAATTATATTATTCTTGTTAATAATTTAACATATATTAGCGGTTTTTGATAAAGTCATTACTAAATAGCTAATTGTTTTAATATTTGAATGTTTCATAGATGTATAATATTCCTAATGAGTCTTAAGACTACCCCTAATATCAACTCAAAGTATTACAAACAAGTTAAACTAATACCTAATTGATATACTGATTTTATTTGAATATTAATTAAAGAACATGTAAATAATCAAAATCTTTTTTGATTAGTGATTCAAAAATGTATCAATTTTATCTTTACACTTAATTATATATGTATATAAGTTTGCCTATATATTATAACCAAAATATTTTTTAACGTTTGTCTATTCAAATGTACTTATAGGTACTGATTTCTAGTAATTAAATTCTTATAATTTAAAACAAATCCAAAGACTAATTAACTAATTGCAAAAATAAAACCTTTAACATGTCTCAAAATAATTTTAGGTGGCCATTTCGTATCAACTAAGCAATTTCCTGACGATTTTCTACTTGGCACGGCAACTGGGGCTTATCAAGTAGAAGGAGCTTGGAATGAAGGTAAGTTTTGGTTATGATTGATTTATTTATTTTCTAAAATGTTTAAAATTTTAAATACAATAATATATTAATCAAGTTTGAATACTATGGCTTACTTTCTAAAATTTATATAAAATATCTTATGTACCTTTCTGTAATAATGTTTATTTGTTATAAAATAAAAACATGAATTTGAATTGCAGATCAGTTAATAAAGATTAGATTGTTAAATTAAAAATTCAATACAATGGAATTTAAAAAAAGCATACATATACAATTTTCCTTTTAAAAATTAAGTTTTTATTTTTCACCTATATAATAATATTATTTCTGGTACCTAATGAAAATGTATAGTCATAATATTTGAAATATGCTGACCATAGAATTTTCATGATGTTTATAACAAAATATATTAAAGTATAATTGTTGTAAACTGTAGGTAATTAATTTAATTTGTCTTCCTCTGAGTTAAAAAATCATAAAATAAATTATGAGTACCTACTAATAATAATTGTGTTTCCATAAATCGACATAATATAATTCTAACAAATTATAGTTTATGTTCGACATCAGACAGATTTTTAAATAATTTTTGTATTGATTCCAAAATCGTATAAACGATTGTTTAATCCATTCGTACCTAAATGCTTTTTTATAATCACTTTAGAAGAACCATGTACAACTCAAACTAGTCAATTAATTATATTGCATGGAGGGTGGTATTTTTTTGTACTGAGCACTTTCTTTTTTAATAATTATTCATCAACTTCGAAATCGTATCAACAATTTTTGGAATGACTAACGAAGTATTTATAGACGTTTTTTGGAAGAATTTAAAAATTCATAAATTACTCCTACTGGCTTAATAATTTTTATTTTTATTTTTTGTAGGAGGGGGGGAGGGGTGTGTTAATATTATGTTACATCTACTTCCAGTTTCAGTCAAATCATACACCAAATACTGGGAGATAATATTATCTTTGAATATGTTTAGTCCCCAGTATAACAATCCTAGGGGTTATAGGATATAATTTACCTCTTCCCTAAGAGAACTTGGATTTTTTCTGTATCGGCGGGGAACATCGATTTTGCTTTTCAAAATATTTCAAATTAAATTAAATTAAATTAATTTGAATTTAGATTATAATTTATTTTGTTTATTTTAAAATTAAAATACTAGACTTTTAGAACTCAATTACCTATTTAATTTAATAAAGAAATTATAAAATAGGAATAAGATCAGAATCATTAGTAAAGATGAGTACAATTATTGTGATTAACAGGTTAATTTATTGTAACAACAACAATATAGTTGGCAAGAATAATAAAAGTTACACATTTCATCAGTTAAAATACGAGTATTGAGCTTGATTTTTAGATTATTTTGAAAATTTACTCTTATATTTTTTTATCATTTTATATCAGTTTCCTTAATTCAAATATTCATGATAAAAGAGTCTAAGACTATTATTGATAGTTACATCAAATACGTTAATTTTTTTTCAACTGCTGGTCGCCTTGATGAACTTGATCTTATTTTTAACTTTAAACCAGCACCTATCCAGCTGTTTGCCATACATTTTACTAGTCAATGGCAAAATATAAGAAAATATGGAAATTTCCCCATCATAGATAGTTAACGATGTAATATGTATTTTTTTTTTTTTAAATGACAAAATGCCTTGATTTACTAAAGCACTCCATTGATAATTTTCTATTTGAACGTTAAGCATTATTTGTATCATTAATAAATTAAAATAATAGTATATATTAATTACTATTATCATATTAAACTTATCACTTAATGCTATTTGAATATTTATCAAAAATTCAAAACTCAATTTATTCAATTAATTATTGACAATAGTATCAATTGAATAGCCCAATATACCTTATAATACCTCTTATTATTATAAAATCCTATATATTATTAAAATATTGACGGTCCGTATATATGTCATATATTTTGAAATTATATAAATGTTAGCAAACTTACTTCTTACTGTCTGTCAACACAATCATGATAAATACCTACTACAAAAAAAAAAACATTAAAAACCTGTACCTATCTATAATAATTATTAATAATGATCTGTATCCAATTCAAGTCTTATAATTTATTTTGCCAATAATTATGATAACTTTAAAATTAAAAATATGTTATATGGTATTAGATGGTTACAATAATTTATCAATCTTACTAAAATGCGATTGATCAATAAGATTTAAATTATATGGACTCTCTTAAATTGCCAATTCTAGTTCCACTCATGTAATAGAGAACAGAACATATATAGCTTACAGAACTTCTAATTATGATAAAATTAATAATAAGCGACCTAAGATGGCTGTAACCTGGCTAAATAATATGACGACTGAATAATTTTTTGTGATATAAACGATACTCAATATTATACTAACTAAATTGATTAATAAAATCAACCTACCTACCTGCTTAGTTGTGGATCAGTTAGTTATGAATGATCAGTGATCACCATATTATTAGTTCCTTCAATTACCTTTTTAATAATTCCCACAGTTCCTACCTATAATATTAAGGAAAACTATTTCTGCATAAACATTGATTTTATAGTATAATAAAACTAATGGTATAATAGATCTATAGTTATCATGATTTAAAGTATTTTTGGATTTACCAACCTTAATAGAAAATAAAAATAAGATAATGAAAATGTTTGTTTTCGTATTTCTCAAAAATCAAATATATCTTCCCAATTTACAGAACTAATTAATGCAAATATTTTTTAAGTTGAATTATTAATTCCTATTAAAACGTTTATGTAGTGGAACTTACGCAAAGGGAGCTGACAGAAGAGAGTACCTCTATATAATGGGTGGGTGGTAAGTAGATGCATGTACAGGAATAAACACACCGAGACATTCTGTACAACATATTACTATAAACTACAGTAGACGGTATACTAAAATGTACTTAATTTGATAAATGATGTTTAAGTCAATAATACATCAATAATTATCTAAGCTATGATAAAATACTTAAAATATACTTCACTTGCGATTCTATATATTTTTGTTTTGTATTTCTACGAAATCGTACTAATAAATCGTTTTTGTTTTAAACTTGTTTATAATTTTAAATGGTAATTGATAAATAATAGTTTTTTGAAATATTCAAAAGGTTCATAATTTTTTTAGTTTAATAATTATATGTGAGTTATAAATTAAAATGTAATATTATGAAAAGGAAACTTCATAAGAATCTTTTGTATTTCAAATAACATTTTATACTTCTACCATCAAGTTTAGCACTCGTATTTTTTGTACTGAAATTCATCAATTCTTTATTTCGTTTCATAAATAGTATTTATAAATGTTCACTAAATTATTTTTAATCTCAGATAAAGCGGAATCAATCTGGGACCATTATTTTCATTCCAATGAAGCAAACAAGTCGTTCAGATATTTCTTAGACTTACCTGAGTCGGTAATCGAAAACCACATACAGAAGGGTGTCAAACCTAGATTAGCTGATATATATAAGGGAATGGGAGTTTACGAATTTCCATCAACTGCAATTAACGATGGTACACATTTTAATTTCAACGGTGATATAGCTGCGGATACGTACCACAAAACAGATGTAGATATCGAACTTCTCAAGGAATTGGGTGTGAGTTTCCGACAAAAATTTAATAAGTCCAATTTTCAATAGTACTAATGAACAAATTTAAGGTACTTAATAACATATTGTGTAATTTCAGGTTCAAGTTTATCGATTTTCCATAGCTCCAACCAGAATTATTCCAATGGTTCATGACCATTCACCAGGACAAAGCGGAATAGCATATTATAATAATCTAATTGACAAATTAATCGAAAATGGAATCACACCAATGGTATTTGTACAATACGATAATGCATGTTACGATAAATATCATAAATATTAATACAAGATAAAAAAAATAAATAAATAATAATGTTCCTATCATAATATTGTAACCACGTTCATAACTATAAACAATATGTAGTACTGTGCATTCAAATTTAAAATCTTGATTTTAGGTAACGTTGTACCACTATGATATGGGGATGGCTTACAATATAATTGGAGGACTAACAAACTCGGCTACCTATGTATTTTATCCAAATTATGTGAGGATATGCTTTGAGAATTTCGGAGACAGAGTATGTACCTAAGCAGATTATAATCTTATATATCTTATATTGTTATCTAATATATTGGTATAAATTAAATTGTAATATTGTATTGTGTTTTATTATATTATATACATATGATTAATTATCACCCCGTAAGGTAAAATATTGGACAACATCTGCAGATATACATTTATCGGCTGAAGGATATGGTTCTGAGCATTTCGCTCCTGGGTACCAAGAACCATTTTTTAGTGGATATTCAGATTATCAAGTATTGCATAACTGTTTTACTAGACTTGCAATGGTTTATAAATTGTACAACGAAGAGTTCAAGGAAAAACAACAAGGTAAACAATGTAGATAATACACTATAATATATTTTTTTGCTTATATCCAATCTAGTTAATAAGTACCTAATTATTACTAATAACTATAAATCTTGTATAGTTTTATCAAATAATTAAAAATTAATAAAAAGTACTCACGCATAATGTGTGATTCCATTCGCATAATTTCTATTTCAATAAATAAAACAATATTATGTTAATAATCTCTACATAATTTGTATTAGGACAATTAAGCATGGCCATAGATGGAGTTTGGTTTTATCCGAAAGATCCAAATAATCCGGAACATCAAAAAGCTGCCGAATGCGCAAGAATATCAACAGTAATTATTCGTTAAAATTATTCATCAGACATTTTAACATTCTTACATTAGACAAATTAATTTTTTTTAGTTTGGTTTGATAGCACATGTGTTAGCAACCGGAAAATACCCGGAAGAATTTTTAGAATCTGTTGAAAGGACTAATAAACGAGAAAAAATACGGGTCGAACGTGTTGTACAATTTACAGAGAAAGAACAAGAGTTAATTAAAGGTATGAATGTATGATGCATAAAAATTATTTTTTATTAAACATAAAAACACTTACAAAATACAACTTATAAAAATATTCTAAGATCTTTGAATCACGTACTAATCGATGAGTAAAATATATTCCGTCCTGATAAATCAACCATATCTAAAATAGTGGAGCTGTTTTAACAATATACATAGCCGATAATTTTGCAATAGGCTACAAGTAGATGATTTAATCACTGTATCGATTTTAGAAAACCTTTGGTGCAGTCAATCACGATTTACTAATAAACGAACTGAAGCACTTGAATGTTGACGGCCTGCCCTTAAACTGGCTCAAATCTTATGGTACTGAGAGGAACACATTTTTTTTTATCTTAGGTCCCTTCTCTGAATTTTTCCAATCTATCTCTGTCTTACTCCAAGGTGATCACCTAAACCTTCTAATTTCCTCTCTTTTCATATACTCTATTTTATAGTGGTCTACTTATAAATATGTTATATTATTGTATACCTGCTAATTCTGTTCATAAATCTGTTCTACATAAAGAAATAAATATTTTTCCGAATGCGGGTTTCTCATTTAGTACTCTCTCTAAACTAATCTAAGTTTAACGTTATTTACTTATCCCAGTTACATACTCCCATTGTGTCTTATTTTGTCCCATTATGTCTCAATGGCTTTGAACTAGAACGTGTTACCTACATTAAAGATCCTGGATTTAAGTTACCGACAAATCATAGTTTTAGTAATGACATAATAGTTATTAAAGCACTTAAAATTCTTTGATTCATAACACACAATTATTAAAGTCAGCCAGGTGCTCATATTCCTTTTAATTTTCTCTTGTATGTATTTTATTGAAACACGGATCAGTATACTGATAGTTTGGCTAAGAACCAGCCTTGCCTTGAACGTTTTCAAACTAAGCTGATTTTATAATAAACATTCAGCGCGAACCTAGCGACTATTATTAGAGTACCTACCAACCCAAGACGGTTAAGAAAAAAAAAGTTTTAGTTTTGCCAAATATTCAAATCTTATTAAACACTTTTAAATCTTACACTAAAAATATGTCCTGCAAACTGTTATTATAGGGTCATTCGATTTTATTGTATTCAACTATTATAAAAGTGTAAAAGTGCGACCAATGACCAGTGAAGAATTGGCCAATGAACCTAATCTTAAAAGAAGAGATCGAGGATATTTCATGGAACTTAATAACACCACAGAAACTGAAGTAAAATTACTAAATGTTTTTTTTTCATTTGTATTATTTATTAATCATTGAAATTTTGAATTAATAATTAATATGATTCAAGGTTTATGAAGGATTTTTAAATTGCTTAAAATGGATCAATGAAAAAATGAATAATCCAAAAATATTCATCGGAGAAAATGGATTTCCAGAAGAGGACGGCATTGACGAAAGTGAAAAAAAAGTAGCTTACCATACTGTAAGTTGTATAATTATGAATTTAATATAATTTATATTCTTACAATATCTGATAGACAGAATTATTAGTATTCAAAATTGTTTTGATTTACGTATATTATGAACATCAAATAGATCAATGTCCAAATTATCATTCATAAATTGATAGTGTAACAGATTTTTATAATTTTTTTATTTTAGGGTATTTTAAATAAACTACTTGAAGCACTGGATGAAAACATAAATGTTTTTGGATACTCTGTTTGGTCGTTTTTAGATACTCTCGAGTTCACATTTGGTTATTGGTAACTATTTAATTTAAATGAATAATATTGTTGTACAAATTTTAAGTTATGCTTTAAATAGATATACAGACTTACTATGTAAAACATTTAAATATACAATATAATGTTATGTTATAGGAAGAAGTTTGGAATTTATGCGGTGGACTTTAATGATGAATCAAGACCACGTTCAAAGAAAAATAGTTTCCCTTTCTTTCAACAGTTGTTCAGAACAAAGAAATTACAAATAAAAAATTAGAATGAAATATCAAAATAATATTAAAATTAAATACTTACATTTTTCATATTTTTTGCAATAATTCTTAACTACAAAATTAAAAAGGGATACTGTAATTTCAATCTGATAAAGAAAAAAAATTAATTAAAAATATATTTATTATTATCTTTGATTGAACAGTTTTCTTATTCTGAAATATGTTTTATTCTTTTACTCATTACACATAAACTATAGGGAATAATTTGTGTAATATTATTAAAGAAAATTGTCGAGCAAGAAAAATTATTAGTTTATATTTGACACATCCGAGATTAATCATTGACGATCACGATCGCTCTTAGATTGTGTCGACTCTCGGCGTCTCACAGTGGACTAGAAATTAAATTTAGACTGTATTTGTTCTGATTTAAAAATGATAAAAATTTAATTTTTAAATTCTATCTCTTAATCCTGCAAAATCCAAAGAAATATTTTTTGAACTCCATTTATAGCTCTTTTATTGAGGCATTTTTATATTTGTCCATTGTTTTGTTTCAAATGTAGTACGTATAGACTATATTATTAAAGTTTATTTTGTTTTTCCTTTTTTTTATTTCAACTAAAATTATAAATGTCCTTTAAATATAAATAATAGTATAAGTAAAATGCCTTTGTTAATGTATTTTTAATGAAATGAAATATGAACTTAAACGTTTTAGTTTTTTTATTATCCCAAAACTGCTAATAATATTTGACTACACTATTATTCAATACGTTCATATTTTAGAGAGACTACTAAACTAGATTATATTTATGTATATTTTATATGTTGCTATTTCCAATTGTAACTTACAACAATTTAATTCACTTAAAAAAAACAGATTACCTACTACAAAAGTTGTATTCGTATTTAGTTTTTAATGACATCTTATTATACAAAACAAGTTTATTTATAAATATATACACATTTATTTTGACTTCGTCTTTTGTTGAATATTTTAATGAGCAGAATTATATTGTCAACATAGAATATTATCAAAATATTTATTAATATAATAAATAATACATTGTTATTACAAGATTTGAAAATATTATATATGCATTTCAGAAAATAAAACTTTCAAGTCACTTTCTCCACTTTCTCAGAAACAGTCTTCTATCATAGGTTTATAATATCTTAGTTATGTTTGTATGGTGTCGTTAGCTAGTGATGAAACAAATAGCATATTATCAGAAATAGCACTTATAGTAGAGCTTTATAATGTAGCACCTAGCACATTAGTACAATACAATAATATTATATAATAGGTAGATTGCATAATAAATTATAGTTAATATTAATTTCAATAGGTAGTAGAGATGTTGCACGTACTACTATAAGTACCTATAATAAGGTAGGTAATTGATTAAGTTGCCAATTATATTTGAATACACAAATCAAATCGAATTCAATTTTTAATCTCTGATGCCTTAAACGGTATTACAATAGAAACAATACACTGCATGTTCAAAGTTCATAATGTCGTAATGTACATGAAAATACTTTTGTGCGAGCATACAATAATAGATAAACAGTTATGAATTATGATACTGTATACAATATACCAAATGTTATTTTAATTCCTTAAAAATTATAAAGAGCCTAACACAATTTATTCCTATGAATTTTTTTTTATTTTCACACATAGCACACAGACTTTTATCGTAATAAATACATTAAATTATTGTAGTTTAATATTGTATAAGTTTGTTAGGACCCACGTAATAAAAACTTCTAAACTTTACAAAAAATGTTAGCGTTTTGAAATAATTCCAATCAAGTAGACCTCAAAATTGTTAATTATTGTTAGTGATCTATCATATCATTAAATAATTATTGAACATGAAATATCCAGTACATATTCAATATATTTTCACTTTCAAATTGGAAACTTTTATTATTTGTTCACCTATGTACCTACATTGTACGATTTAGAATGTCTAATATATTTTGCTGATAGATGTACAGAATATAATTCTACGGTATATATAGTTTTAGTACGTTGCATAATATTATTTATGCATAAAACTTATCTTCTTATTCTTATTAAATTTAATTGCTGTATCTAAATGTCCACAACAACCAATACAATGATAATATTATTGTAGTAATCGTAATTAAAACTGCAACTTTTTTCAATAATATAATGTCTATCCAAGCTGTTTGTTTTTTAATGGTTATATTCATATTACGGTATAAGTATATGATAGTAAAATACGGTCACATAATAAATAATTTTGTTTTTACAATCCATACACCGCTCTCGTCCTTTGTTATTGAATAATGCAAGTATAGCTGTTATGAATTATTAATATTCAGAACATACCTAATAATTCGGAGTAGATGCTAATGTTACATTACCGCCGGTGTAAAGATGTAGGTATAAGTATATTCATTCGTATATAGTCGTGCAACAGAACTATACATAAATGGGTTTACGATGATATCAAACGTGCCATTCGTTCGTTATACAAATAATAATATTCTCGTGTGACTGTTATTACTCCAAAATGGTAACAATACACTCGACTGTTTAATGTGTCCCTCTAACCAAACGTGTCCTGTCTTTCGCCCAAGGCGGAAAAAAAAATAAATCATTAAAGATGGAAGTCACGTGTTCTCCGAAAGCACAAGTATTACTATTATCCATATCCTGACCTCCGGCATCATCCCTCGCGGGGTTAATTGATTAATGGTTTATTTGACAACAGCATTTACGTCATTCTAACCCCTGCGTTCCCGTCGACAACCCAGGACCCTGAATATTATGCCGCTCCCCAAAACCCAAGGGCAGCCGTCATTGTTCAAACAATAATCGGTCTTATTGCTCTTGTTGCATCGGAGGGTTGTGGATAAATAAAAACCATATAGGGATTCCCCGAGCTACTGCTGATGCTGTGTTATCCGGGTGAATCATTCGGTCATTGCATTCGTTGCATAACGAAGGGTTGAGCACAACTCAAATGGGTTTTTCAGTTCAATAATAATAATAATAATAATAATAATAATAATAATTTTAATAAAAATCCAATAATGAATGGGACAATAATCGTCAGTGTAATCTGTAATTGTAAACGTTCCTACTCAATATCATAACAATACAGTAAACGTTGCGATTGTTGTTGATGTCTTTTTCATCGACCATCGTACATATTGCCCACGGTCATTAATTATTATAATTAACTGGAATGAAAATGCAATTAATTAAGGGTTACGTTTAAGCATTTTTCAAATTATGTTGACTGCAAAATTGAGTATTCCTAATGATATCAAAGAAAAAAAAAACATTTGTGATTTAAATATCTAAATATAGTATATTATTAAAGTAGAATTTACATACATATGATAAAGGTATTATGTAAAAGTAGGTGGATTTCTTCCAAACATACAGGTATTAACAAACAGAATATAACTATTTTTTTCTGACATGATAAAAAAAAACGGACGCATAATAATTTATAAAGAGTAATTGGTTTTTTAGTGGTTTTTTCCTCCTTGATCAGCATCGTCGTTTAGAAAATATAATTAAATTTAAAATAACGTGACGTGAAAAGATATAAAATCTCCACTCAGATGTCACCTTGATGCCAATATTATAAATTTATCACGCCTTGGTGCGCCCTTTTAAGCACATCCTTTGTATAGTAGCATTGCATGACACCATTATATTCTTGACACACCCAATGTCTAATTTGTCGATTTGACAAAATTGTACTGACTTAAAAACAAAAGTAATATAATTTAGATGAAATGTCGCAATGACTAATGAGTTTTAAATTACCGAGTGATTTTTTTATCGGGATATTAAAACAAAAATAGATATCTTATGCAGCCGGAAACCAACAAACAAACAATAGCTGTACTAGTATATAATATTTGGTAAGTTAAAATACTTCAAATGATTAATACATAAATAGAGGATTACGAGTTCATAGTAATATAAATATTTTAGATTACAAATTATTTGTGTTGAATTCAGTAAAGTACCTAAGAAAAAAAAATAGTTCCGATGGTAAATATTTTTGTAATGACTTATAAGTTATTATATTTTCAAACGTGATATGACGTCTTTGAAACAAATAAAATAAAAATTTCATTTCAAGAATTCAGACTTAATTTTTAAATCATAATTTTAAAATGGCAAAAGATAGGATGTATTTCTATCAGCCTAACTCCGTTCGATATAATTATTTTTGAATACAATGATTTATCATTGCTTTTAAATTAAAATAATAATACAGTACATACACTCTGTCAGTGACCTAACAGTTTTTGTTTTAACTTTTTATTTAAAAGTTCGGGCTATTTTATATATAATACCCAATTAATTAAAAAAAAATATACATGTACAATAACAACCGACTGCAGTTTATCTATGTTACAATTATTGAAATTAAACATAAGTGATTGATGATTATACATTTATTAAATTTAAAATAATCAAAAATATTTTAATAAATTCACCCCTGAATTTCATAAGCCATTCAAATAATAATTTTTAGTTAAATAACCTTTTGTTTCCTTAAGACTAAATCTAAAAATATTTTGGTTTGCCAAATATAAGATATATATATTATATATATATGGATATTTATTTAAATATTTATCTTCAAAAATAATAAAAGTATACATTTTTATCAGTAGCTTTATTTGTAAAGAAAATAATAATAGATAAGATATAAATAGAGTTAAAAAAAACTTAGTGTATTTATTTTATTGTTTATATTAAACGTCGAATGTCAAATATTTTAGTATGTATTTATAAGCACATACAGACCAATTCGTGTTTGAAATATAATGAAAACTGAAGATTAATGTATGAATTATAAAAACAATATCATAATAGTAATTATTGGGTACCTATTTGAAAAATACTACGATATATTAATGTTGTAATATTTATTTAAAATGTATAGACGTTTTTAAATATAGATTAGTAAATTCAATCAAAAAACAAATTATATGGTCGATGACAGATGAAAATAATGAAAACTCTATTTTGATTGTATTGTAATTTGTTATACGTTGCAGTATGCTGTAAACATAATATAATACAATATTTTTTAGAAAGTATAATATTTTTTTTTCGGATTTTAAATGAAAATGCAATTTTACATTTAGGTACTTATTATGGCATGAAAAATATTAGTTATAAAATAATTAGTAGTATACTGATTTTTTTTAACTCTCGCCGAGAACATATTTTTAAATTATAATTAACTTCTAATTAATTTTCAATTTAATGATATTTAGTACATAACTCTGACTATATATTAATTTTGTTTGTGTAGCGTGTTAAAAATCAAAAAATAAGAATCGATAATTTTGGTCAAATTTAATGTTTTATTTACTGACTTTATAACTAATAAAATACAGTTTTAGATTAAAGTCTAATTTATTTTTTCAAATATATTTTATCTTATTTATTTATTTTTTATGAGCGATAAAATAAACTTAAACCTGTGTCTCCAAATAGATAAAATATAAATTTAACAATCCTAACGAAATAAAATAATATAAACCTACAATAAACTTGCTAATTGTATGACAAACATAACATAATATTATAATGCAATAAATATATTTTAATCAATCAGTACTCAGTATAATACTAGTTTTACGATAAAACAAAGAAAAAAACAATGAACATAGTTACCCAAATAATAGCTTCACGATCAATTTAATTTATATTAAATAATATAATATGTCGTGAGTTGTATGATTAAATAATCGTTTTAGCCAAATAATGTCCAATTCAAAATTAAAATGAATTATAGATTTTTGTTTATTTAGTATATACACATTTTAGTAATTCCTTTCATAGTTGTTAAAAATAAAGGTCCAAGAGTATATTAAATATTAAACCAGTGATAAGAACAATTTAAACCTTATCAATGTTCGATGTAAGATGATAAATAAAATAAAAAAAATTAAAGA